TGTTTTTTAAGAATTATTTAAAATATTTACATACATATATATATATATATATATATGCATATAAAAAGTGTGCTTTAAAGCGTTCGAAAATTAATGCAATTAAGTAGACTACACTGTTGGAAAAAAATTGTAAAATAAAGATATTTAACTACGAAAAATAAAGTGCGGGAACGAAAAGTTTAACTTGTTTTTCAAAGAAAATACTTGACTAATAATCTACCAAAATGGAAAAAATTTACCTTTTTACCAACCCAAACTTTTTCTACCAGTTTTGGTAATAATTTAAAAAAGTGGTAACCCTGCCAGCGAACCCAAGCTCCCGAATTCTAACCTCAGGTAGCCGAAATATTTATATTTAAATGGAACAGTGTATTTATTTTATATTCTTTATATAAAATTCTATATAAAAATGGTATTCGTTGCATATGTCTTTGCGAATAATGTTGTACTCATCCCTGCTTAGTCGCATTTTTTGCTGGGATATGCGTAGGGAAGTATGTATGTACGTTCGACACTCTCTTGTATACGTTTGTATGCATGCGTTGTTGTTTCGTTACTTCATTAAAGGTTTACATCTTTTGTTTTATTTATGTATTTTTAATTTAACATTATGACTTACGGGAATGGTCGTGCAGTTGTGTACATTTTGTCATGTTTAATTGCTTTTCTTACGCTTTTAAATATTTAAGTACTCGAAATTTCAGCTCTACTGTACGTTTGGGATAATAATGTTTTAAAAAATTTCCGTTACCTAAGATTTATAAAATTGTGACATTGAAGTAGGAAATTTAATTTTATTGTCGTAAACATATCACACGTTTATTAATAAATATAGAAATGTAGTTCAAAATTTATGTTTTTGGAGATTTCATCATATAAATTAATAGTTGTGATAAGAAGAACATGTTGAGCCTAACAGTGACTAAACTGCCCAAAAATGGCGAAGATAGATATTTGTCTTTCCATTTCTCTTTTGGCATACGATATACCTACGGTGACCATTCGTCCCGATTTTGGCGGGTCAGAACCGATTTTAAGAAAATTGTGCCACTGAGTCCCGATTTTCAGTGTTTTCTTTATTAATTTAATAAGTCTCCCTGTACTCTGACTCAAAGATAATTTCTCGTGGCAGCACTGTCATTATCACAAAGAGCATATAATATAAGGGAGCCATAAACATCGTCAGCTTCCTTAATTTCTATCATCTTTGGCTATGTTCAGGGAACGGATTTTATGGAAATGGCCTTTATTTCTGCTAAAGAGATAAAGTATATTCGATAAAGAATGTCCATGATTTATCTTTCCCTGATTATATATATATACATTTGACTTTGCCTTTTTCTAAGATATTTGCCTTTTGCTACCTTTAACTGTAAAGGGCCAGGAAAAAGCCCTTATTCCTGATAACATGCAAGTTTTAAATGTTTCATTTTAAATTTTATTAACTCACGTCGAGCGCACGTTTAGTACATTAAAGGCTTTTATTCGCGAAAATCGAATGAAAATGCTCCCAGAAAACTTCAAAATGCATCTTTTGGTTCAATGTACTAGTTTTGTGAGTTAAAAACCCGAAAGGAGAAAATACTCAAAATAAACATTTCTAAAATAAATGTATTTTTAACCGACTTCCAAAAAAGGAGGAGGTTATCAGTTCGTCGGAATATTTATTTTTATTTTTATTTTTTTTTTTATGTATGTTACCGCATAACTTTGGACCACGTCAACCGATTTCGATAATTCTTTTTGCATCGGAAAGGTAGTGTCTCAGAGGTGGTCCCATACTAATCTGGTTAAAATCGGATCAGCGGATCATGAGATATATATATATATATTTTTTTTATATGGGAGTTGAAGTCGGTTTTTTTTTGCTAAAAATTACTTGTTTGGATTATTTTCCGGTTTTTTGTCTTTTTTTAATGCCGTACTTTGCGACTGCGCGAGTCGGAATGCTGGTAACAGAGGAAGAGGTAGACCTCCAAGTGGAGAAGAACATGGCTTCACTTGGAATTTTCAATTGGCGTCAGTGGGAACAGAAGAGAAACAACTGGCGTGCTTTTTTGAACTCAGCCAAAATCGCTAAGCGGTTACAGCGCCAATAAAGAAGATTAATACTCAATTAAATTCAATCAACCTGTATAAAAATGTGGGGATATGTCTTTCAAGTATATTGGCATGCTAATGGCACTGCCAAAATCATAATTAAACGTTGGTAATCGAATGCACTCATACACTTACATATATGCACTTACTGGCGGTAGTGACAATGAATGTTCCCTCAAAATTTGCGGCGTGCATTTCGCCGACGTTGCGTGCTGCATGCATATGCATGCATTTCAGTGAAGTTTTATATTTTTGCTTAGAGTGTGATTTTTGCCAATTATAATTTGATTACTATAACTGGATGCATAAGACTATGAAAGGATAAACATATGATTTAACGAAGCCATTTGCAGGCGTTATGAGTTAAGCAATAAAAAGTGAATACGCTTCAGTGGGCATATAAAATTCAGCATTGTAGCTTGTGGGCACTGTGCAAAGCGATGAGGAGAGCCAATGCCAGTTGCTTAATAGAAGTTCAGGGGCGGTGCGGTGCGTGAGTGTGGGCTTGTAGCTGTCAATAACCTGCGAGAAAAATAATAGCAAAAAAAAATATAAAAAAAAAACGGATTATAAGCGGTGCACGTAAATCCATTCAAAGTTTTCACTTTCTTCGCAGTCATGCAAATGGTTCAATGGAATGGAGCACTCTTATATGTATGTGTTATTTGTATGCGGTTGATAAACGAAAAAATATAAATAAATGCTTTTTTGGTGGGAATTTCTTATGAGTATTTAACATGAGCATTTATTTCAGCCACGCAAGTACCAGCGCACAGTGGGCCAGAATTGGAATTTAATGTTCATAATTTACTAGCGCTTTTCAAAAAGTTTTATTATTATTTTTGTTTTTTAATTAAAGCTTATTCAATTAGAAAGCTTCCGACTTTTGAATTTTTATGTTTGTATTAACTTTTTTATTGCAAGATTCGGAGAAAGTAGCAAATTTGAAGAATATCAAATTCTCCTGTTCCAGTTAATAAATGTTACATAATAAAAACTACTTAAAAAATTGTAGGGTTCTCCCAAAACGACAAAAAAAGAAAAGTTGTTATAAAAAAAATATTTCATCAAAACTAACAACTTTTTTTTGAGTTTTTAGAAAAATCTTGCAGTTTTATACGTCACTAAATTTTAGTATGATAAAGTGTCAGTTTCAAGTGGCTAAGACTTGGCGTTGATTTTCAGTAATTTTTTCGTTAGTTTGTGTAGTTTATATTCCTATTATATTTTATATTAAAAATCAACGCGAACTCTGCTCCACTTGGAACTTTAATTTTATCATACTAAAATTTCGTGATCTATAAAACTACATTTTGATGGAATTTTTTTTTTATAAAATTTCAAATTTTTTGGATTTTCCTTTTTTGTTTTGGGGGAACCCTACAGTTGTTTTCAACTAGGTTTTATAATGTGACATTTATTAACTAGAACAAAAGAATCGATTTTTTCCAAAATTGCTACTTTTTCTGCACTTTCTACTAAAAAATGTAATACAAGGAAGTGAAAATTCAAAAATCGGGCTCAACTGGTCTCTTGCAAATTATACAAGCTTTCAAATAAAAAAAAAATGATCTAGTTGAGTAAAAAATTAAGGCTCCAGTGAATTATGAACAGTGCATATGCCAGTTTTGAACCAGTGTGCAACGCAACGCCCATTGTAAGTTGGCTATGCTGCGGTGGACTCATCACCATGGCATTTGACGTGACAGGTGCGGTTAGCTTGACAAGCAAACAATGCTTACAAATGCACGTACATATATATATAGTTATGGACATACGTACTTACATTCAATTATTTGTTTGTTTTTATGTAAAATAATTTAATTTTTAGTTGGTAACGCTTCGATATATACTACGTACAGATATATGTACGTACTATATTGTTTGAACATGACAACAAATTTCAGCTGCCCGCAAGTCGTTTCACTTTAGCAAACTCTGCTCTTTATTAGTTTTCTTCTTCCAGTTTGTTGTGCTGTAAGTTTTTATTATCTGTGCTGTGCCGCAACGGAATTTTTGTGGTTTCGTACCCATTTTCTCTTTCACGCCACCCAGCCATTTACCTCTATTCCATGAACGTGTCGACTGAAGGCTTATTTACTCAAGTATTCGCCGCTTGCCTCCTTTGGCGGAAATTGATGCTTCGAATCGCATATCAATTAATTCAGTTAATTCTTTGTTTGCACTTTCGCTGCTATCTTAAGGTATAAATTTTCATTTTACACTATCTTTCATTAGAGTTGTGTTTTTTT